GCAGTTAAAGCAGAATCATAGGGCTTATAACTCCGCAATGTAAAAGTGCCTATACAATTTCACAAATGCAGGGCAGTAATTGTACATTTTTCTGCAAGTAAGCTGCAAAGTGGCATTATTTTCAATAAACACACAGAGAATTGTGTTATAAAAACTTCATAATTTTAGAAAGAATAAGCCTGTACAAGGTCTGATTTGCAGGCATCAGCAACAGCTAGATCTTCTCCATTTGAGAAGTAATTGATATAGAAAGAAGAAAACAATCCATGGCCTGAATAATTCATATATAGTTGTTGCGACGATGGGTATATAACATACTATACTATGACATAAGAGACATGTAACTAAGTATTTTCCCAAACCTCCTGAGAGGTTTAAAATAAAGCCAGCAGATGATCCTACCTGTGTATATATATAAATTGGATGTTTGTTTTGAAATGGTTACATGCCCTGATATGTTTAGAAAAGTGTTTTAGAAAAAAGAAACTACTTTCCCTCTTACCTGTTCATTAATACTAAAGGCAAAGAACAGAATACTGAAAGAAAACATGAACTACCAGACAAAAAATCTTTCCTAGAACAGAGACAAAGTACAAGGAATTAAATTCTCAAAACGCATTACTATCCAAACAACACAAATGTCTTATCTAAAAGAATTTGTTGAATTGTATGTGTTTTTATATTGCAAAGGCTCTGTTTTGGGCTGATCTGTGATGTAATTGAAAGATGGAGAATAAGTAGTTCTGTCCTCAGCAGGATGAAGTATTGCCAGGAGTATCGGGGCCAGCAGACTGCCATATCTATAAATTGTTGAGAAGTGAGAGATAAAAATGGCTTGGAAATCCTCTGCCATATTTCTCTCTGCCTGGAGTGAAAAAGATTAAGGGATAACAGGACAACAGCTTCCTGGGGCTGTTATAGCCATGAGAGAAAACAACAGAGAGAAGGGCAAGGGCAAGAGAAACAGGATTGGAAATACTGTACTGTTGTGATTTAGTTTGGATTACAAGGGGAAAAATCTTTGTTAACTTTAAATTACAGAAAGGTTCCGGTACTATGGAATGGAACTTTGACCTTGTCTCCTTGGTAGAAAGCCTATATACACTCATCTGAGAGCAATACCTATGGGGCATGACGATTTGTTTTTCTGCATGAACATGATCAGCTTTATTTAAAGGTTCCAATTCATTGCTAGGTATAAGTGGTCCATTGGACTAAGACGCCAGAAGACCAGGGTTCAAATCTTAACTCAGCCATGGAAACAGTCTATTTCATCCTCAGAGGAAGGCAATGGCAAACTGCATTTGAATCAATCTTGCCCCACAATAGGCTCACCATAAATTGAAACTGACTTGAAGGCACATAACAGCAACAAATCTCAATGCCAGGAGACTCACTGACAAAAAGGGGTTGATACAGGAGTTGATTTACTACCAGCAATCGATTCAGCGAGTCTAACTCTTGTGGGGACTAACAATTGAATTCTGGCTAAGAATAATTATGGTTCGCATCCTGTTTTCAGTCCCAACTGTTTTTACCAACTGCTAACACAAAGTTGACTTGACAGCAGTTAACAAGAAATAAAAAAATCCGACTACATCCCACAATTCTCCAATCTGGCTGCCTCAGTTTAGTGAACACTTTTCAATACCCTTAGACTGAGATTGCAGACTTGAGGATTTTGGGACGTAGTCTGATTTTGATGTATTGTTTGCTGTCATGTCAACTTTGACTTAACGCTGATATCATGAATTAAAGATCTCCAAGCCCCCCTATGCTCAACAACTGTGCTCAGTTTATTTCAGACTCAGGGCTGTGGCATCCTTGATTGAATCTGGTTTCTATATTTAGTTGCATGTAAGGGAAAGATAAAGGTTTTCCCTGACATTAAGTCTAGTCATGTCTGACTCTGGTGGGGGGGAGGTGCTCATCTCCATTTCTAAGCCGAAGATCCGGCATTGTCCGTAGAAATCTCCAAGGTCATGTGCCAGCATGACTGCATGGAGCACCATTACCTTCTATCAGAAGTGCTACCTATTGATCTACTCACATTTGCATGTTTACAAATTGCTAAATTAGCAGAAGTTGGACCTACTAGCGGGAGCTCACCCCTCTCCCCTGATTTGAACCACCAACCTTTTGTCAGCAAGTTCAGCAGCTCAGCGGTTTAACCCACTGTGCCACCAGGTATGTATTTTATGTTAGTTTATGTTTTGACTGTTGTACTCCACCTTGAGCCATTTAACAAATAAAATTTATTATTGTTAATAATAACATTATCATCACCATCGTTATCTGGAATGCTGTCTCCCACTTCTTCTGATGCATTGCTGTCTTTTTAGTGAGCCATTTCTTCTCATGATATGGCCAAAGTACAATAACTGTGACTTCCAAAATAAGTTCATGTTTGATTAAGCTCTAAAACCCATTTATTTGTCTTTTCAGCAGCCCAAGGTGTCCACAGAGCTCCTCTCAAACATCACATTTCAAATGAGTGGATTTTCTTCTTATCAGCTTTCTTTATTGTCCTGCTTTCACAACCATGCATAGAAATAATAAATGTGATGCCTGTCCTAAAATTCAATGATCTATCTTTACACTTCAGTACCACATCTAGCTGCTCTTCCATTTTCCTAGTCTTTTTCTAATATTTTGACTGCAGTCTCTTAGTATGGAAAATCTTGAACTATTTCTTGAGCCAAGTATGGAAAATCTGGCACTATTTCAGTTGATTGGGTATTTTAAAAAACAAAAACCCCAAAATCCACCACACAGAAACAGGTATTGAAGACTTAAGATAAAATCCATTGGCTAGTCCCATTAGATGGATGAATCTTGCATAAAGTGTTGTTTTACTAACTTCTCAGAACTTCAGGAGACTTTCTCCTCCCATGGCACAAACCATAAGATGTAGGCCATGCTTTTCTGCCCTATCTCCCTCCCCTTACTGGTATGCAAGCAAAGGCTTGGCAGACGAGCTCACCTTTACTAAGACATTTCACAAAGGGTGTTCATGCCAAAACAAACAGAGGGATGAAGCGGAAAGCTGTTGTTTGCCCTCAAGTCACTTTCAGCTTCTTGCAAGGTCTCTTCAGAGAAGGTTTGCCTTGGCCCCCCTCAAAGCTGCATCTACACTGTAGAATGAGTACAGATTGACACTACAGATTCACTGCCATGGCTCAATGCTTTGGAATCTTGGGACTTGTAGTTTGATGAGGCACCTTCACAATTTGGCAGAGAAGACAAAACAAAACACTTGCTTATGGTCATCCAATGAGTTTTTGTGGCTTGAGCCTGGATTCAAAGCCTGGCCTCCAGAGCTGAAGAGTATAGCTACACCAGGTACAGGCAAACATTGGCCCTTCAGGTGTTTTGGACTCCAACTCCCACAATTCCTAACAGCCTATCGGCTGTTGTCAAAGTCTTTCATGGCCGGAATCACTAGGTTGTTGTGAGTTTTCCGGGCTGTATGGCCATGTTCCAGAAAAATTCTCTCCTGACTTTTCACCCACATCTATGACAGACATCCTTGGAGGTTGTGAGGTTTGTTGCAAGGTTTGTTTATATATCTGTGGAATGTCCAGGATGGGAGAAAGAACTCTTGTCTGTTTGAGGCAAGTTATTTATTTATTGTATCAGAAACAAACTGAGGGTACAATTGTAATGCTTGTATTTAAAAAACACTAGCAAGGTTTGAATGCTTGACATTATACTAAATGTCCTTTGACCAGTAGCTGGCCACTTGGAGTGCCTCGGGTTTTGCTATAAGAAGGTCCTCCATTGTGCATGTGGCAGGGCTCAAATTGCATCATACTAGGTGTTCTGTGGTTTGTTCTTCTCCACACTCGCATGTTGTGGACTCCACTTTGTGGCCCCATTTCTTAATGTTGGCTCTGTATCTCATGGTGCCAGAGCACCATCTGTTCAGCACCTTCCAAGTCACCTAGTCTTCTGTGTGCGCAGGGGGGAGTATCTCATCTGGTATCAGTGATGCGTTGAGGTTATGGGTTTTAGCCTGCCACTTTTGGACTCTCACTTGCTGAGGTGTCCCTGCGAGTATCTCTGTAGATCTTAGGAAGCTATTTCTTGATTTAAGACATTGATATTCTGGCTGATATCAAAACAGAGGATGGGCCGGAGATGTCACTGCCTTGGTCCTTTCATAGGAGCCCCCAGTGGAGCAGTGGGTTAAACCACTGAGCTGCTGAGCTTGCTGATCAAAAGGTCACAGGTTTGAATCCTGGGAATGGCATGAGCTCCTGCTGTTAGTCCCAGCTTCTGCCAACCTAGCAGTTCTAAAACATGCAAATGTGAGTAGATCAATAGGTACAGCTCTGGTAGGAAGGTAATGGCGCTCCATGCAGTCATGCTTGCCACATGACCTTGGAGGTGTCTACAGACAACGCCAGTTTTTCGGCTTAGAAATGGAGATGAGCACCAACCCCCAGACACGACTGGACTTAATGTCAGGGGAAAACCTTTACCTTTACATGGTCCTTTTATTATTGGCTGCTACTTCTCAACAGATGTCAGGTGGATGCGTAGACATCCTGTGATAATGCGGCATGTCTCATTATCTAAATTAGCATTGAATAACTTTGCAGTTTCAAAGCTTGGAAGCTCTCCGCCTGGGGGAAATCCTTTGTTAGGAGGTGATTAGCTGGCCTTGATTGTTTCTTGTCTTGAATTCCCCTGTTTTTGAGTGTTGTTCTTTATTTACTGCTGGAATTTACTTTATTTACTGTAGGAAGTTTGCCCATGCCTGCTCCATCCCTAGCATTGAGCCATGGCAGTCCCCCTGGTGTCAAACTGGATTCATTCTACAGTATAGATGCACCCAAAGCCCAACGCTGAAGAAGCCACCCAAGAAGGTACACCTCTAGGCTGTCAAGGAGCACTGAAAGGGGCCCTCTCTCTGCCTGGCCCCCTTTCTGATCCAGGTGAGCTCTCCCTCCCGCCGGACTCGGAGGCGTGGTGGCAGAGGAAGAGGAGGAGGAGGAGGAAGGAGAGGGAGAAAGCCACTCGCCCGGCTGGCTCCGTCCTGCCCTGTCCTGCCCTGCCCGCCTTGGAAACCGCCGCCCGGAGAGTCCCAGGCAATCGGCCGGCTCTTTCTGTCTTTCTCGGGAGGCGAGGAAGTTGGCGAGCGCCAAGGAAGGCGGCAAGCAGAGAGACGGGGAAGCCCAGCCTCTCCCGGCGCGGTAGACCGGCTCCTCCGCCAGGTACGTTGCCCTTCTCTCTTCCCCGAGTCGCTGTTCCCGTCCCATTTTCCATGTGTCCATTCCCGCTGCTCTGCTTTAGCCCTTGGCTTTTTCCAGCAGCTCCTTGTTGGACGGTTTCTCCAGTTCAGCCTCTCTCCCCTCACTGTTTGAGCGACAGCATTCCTCCCCTCTTTGCAAGCGCTCTGCCTCTCGGCCCTTCACGTTGCCTTGGCTTGTGTTTTAGGATGCTTTCCTCCCTTTCTTTGGTCATCTCTCTCTCTCTCTCTCTCTCTTGAATTTCTCAAAGGAAAGTTGCGGCAGCGGCAGTATATCAACGCTTTCTCAAACTTTCCACGACACTAGAGAGAAAATCCACTTAAAATCCAGTTTCTGCCTCCTGCAGAATTCTGGGGTTTGTAGTTTAGTGGGACTGCTAAAGGCTCCTCCCTAAACTACAAACCCGAGCATCCTGCAGGAGGCAGAAAACAGATTTTAAGCGGATTTTTCTCTCTCTAGTGTGATGAGGAAGGAACTTGTGGAGTCCACCTGAGAATAGTTACTTAAGCGATCCCTCGTTCTACGAGTAGGATTGTTTTCCAAGATGGGTGTAATGTTCGAGGACAGGAAAAGAGATTTAAGGATGGACTCAAAGCCAACCTTAGAAACTCTGGCATAGACACCGACAACTGGGAAGCCCTGGCCCTTGAGCACTGGCCTGTGAGTGCTCCAGCTGGAGGTCAGCTGTGACCAGCAGTGCTGCAGAATTTGAAGAGCATGAATGAAGGGCGAAAGAGAGAAATGTGCCAAGAGGAAGGTACGTCAAGCCAACCCCTCCACAGTCCCCTACAGACCTACTGCCAGGATGCTACACTTGGAGGACCATCATCTTCGGACTACGAGGGATCGCCTAAGTAAGTAGGCGATCCCTTGTTGTCTGAGTAGGATTGTCTTCCAAGATCGGTGTACTGGTGGTGGGTCCTTAAGTGACTGTGGAGCCCTATTCTTGATCTGCATGTTCTCCCACAAGTGAGGGCATTGGTTTCCAGACGGAAGGTGGTCCCGGTCAGAGTTGGCTGGATGCACCTTCCTCTTGGCATGTTTCTCTCTTTCGCCCTTCTTTCGTGCCTCTTTAAATTCTACAGCACTGCTGGTCACAGCTGACCTACAACTGGAGTGCTCAAGGGCCAGGGCTTTCCAGTTCTCAGTGTCTATGCCACAATTTTTGAGGTTGGCTTTGAGCCTATCTTTAAATCTTTTTTCCTGTCCACCAACATTCCATTTTTCGTTCTTGAGTTCAGAGTAGAGAAACTGCTTTGGGAGACGGTGGTCGGGGATCCGGACAACATGGCTGGTCCAGCGCAGTTGGAGTTGGATGGCGGAGGACCATCGCTTCAATGCTGGTGGTCTTTGCTTCTTCCAACACACTTGTCTTCCCAAGAGATTTGCAGGATTTTCCGGAGGCAACACTGATGGAATCGTTCTAGGAGTTGCATGTGACGTCTGTAGATGGTCCACGTCTCACAGGCGTATAGCAGCCTGGGAATGTGGTGGCCTCAAGAAGGATATTGATACATTGCAAAGGCCTGAAAGCCAAGTCCTATGGGGACCTGTGTATGTGTGGTTTAGGGAAGAGGAGGTTGAGGAGGGATATGATGTTTAAATATTTGAAAGGGTGCCCTGTTCAGGAGCGAACAAGCTTGGGTTTTTTGCTACTCCATAAAAGTGTTTCTCAACCTTCCTAATGCCGCAACCCCTTAATACAGTTCCTCATATTGTGGTGACCCCCAACCATAAAACCATCTTCATTGCTACTTCATAACTGTAATCTTGCTATTGCTATGGATCATAATGCAAATATCCAATATGCAGGATGTATTCACTGGACCAAATTTTGCACAAATACTTGATATGTCCAAATGTGAACACTGGTGGAGTTTGCGGAAAATAGTCCTTGACATTTGGGTGTTGTAGTTGCTGGGATTTATAGTTCACCTACAACCAAAGAGCATTCTGAACTCCACCAATAATGAAATTGAACCAAATTGGCACACAGAACTCCCATGAACAACAGAAAATGCTGGAAGGGTTTGGTGGGCATTGGCCTTGATTTACAGTTGCAGTTCTCCTACATCCAGAGAGTGCTGTGGATTCAAACAATGATGGATCTGGACCAAACTTGGCACAAATACTCAATATGCCCAAATATGAACACTGGTGAAATTTGGGGAAAATAGACCTTGACATAAGGGAGTTGTACTTGCTGGTATTTATAGTTCACCTACAATCAAAGAGCATTCTGAACTCCCATCAATGATAGAATTGAATCAAACTTGACACACAGAACTCCCATGACCAACAGAAAATACTGGATGGGTTGAGTGGGCATTGGCCTTGAGTTTGGGAGTTGTAGTTCACCTACATCCAGAGAACATAGGGGACTCAAACAATGATGGATCTTGGCACAAATACTTGATTTGAAAGGGTGCCCTGTTCAGGAGGGAGCAAGCTTGGTTTCTTTGCTACTCCATAAAAGTGTTTCTCAGCCTTCCTAATGCTGCGACCCCTTAATACAGTTCCTTATATTGTGGTGACCCCCAACCATAAAACCATTTTTATTGCTACTTCATGACTGTAATCTCGCTATTGCTATGGATCGTAATGCAAAGGGTGCCCTATATAGGAAGAAGCAAACTTGTTTTTTTGCTACTCTATAGACTAGGACATGGAGCAATGGATTCTGATTGCAGGGAAAGAGATTCCACCTAAACATTAGAAAAAACTTCCTCCTGTTAAGGGCTGTTTGACGGCCTGGGAAAGTGATGGAGTCTTCTTCAGTAGTTTTTAAGCAGAGGCTGGATGACCATCTGTCAAGAGTACTTTGGTTATGTGTTCCTTTGTGGCAGTGGTTGTACTGGATGGCCCTTGGGGTCTCTTCCAACTCTATGATTTCATTATTCCGCTTCTCCACTTATGGCAACCTACTGAATTTCACAGCATTTTCTTAGGCTCTTGGCATATTACAGCTATTAGATCAATGGTTTTCAGCAAGCCACCCACACATAAAAATCCCCTCATGCCTGATTTGCAACAGTATTTTGCTGGTCCTGCATGTATACCAATGCACTAGACAAAAACTTTCTTCCACTATACATAAGTTTTTCTGGAAAACCTGTCTCTGTTTTGCATTTCCATGGCATTTTACACACCTCTTCCTGTTCGTCCACTGTGGCTTCCCTCATTGCATCTGATGAAGTGGACATACTAGCATGTTCTTCTTTCCAGTTAGTCTCAAAGGTGTTTTTTGTGTGTGTGCTAAAATGGATTTACACATCTATTTCTTTGAACTGGTATCCCTGACATTTGACGTGTGAATGCAGTTGTTTTAGTGCATGTATTTGAACAAAGTCCTATTCTTGATGTTAAGAACTGGACTTCAATATTCTATGGATCTATGACAAGGGTTTTGAGGATATCACATACATATTATTTGATTGTAAATTGCATCAGAAGGTGAGAAGCTTGTACTTTGATCCATATACCAAACAGACAATTTATTGGGAATATCACATCAGAACAACATATTTTATGTGTGGCCAAGACCTAAAAATAACATATAAAACAGCTTTGTAAAGTAAAGCAATATATCTGAGATCCACATACATGGGGCTGATCAAAATAAATTGTAGAGGAAAATATGATGTATATATTCAGTTTTATCATACCTATTTACATCTATATATAAGTGTCTTATTTAACTTACTATATGAAGTTTTATTAAGTTGTAGCAAGCTTTGGAGTCCAAGGTGGCACAGTGGGTTAAACTGCTGAGCTGTTCAACTTGCTGACCAAAAGGTTGGTGGTTTGAATCTAGCGAGTAGGGTGAGCTTCTGCTATTAGCCCCAGGTTCTGCCAACCTAGCAGTTTGAAAACATGCAAATGCGAGTAGATCAATAGGTACCACTCTGGCGTACTCTATACAGTCATGCCGGCCACATGACCTTGGAGGCATCTACAGACAATGCCAGCTCTTCGGCTTAGAAATGGAGATGAGCACTACCCCCCAGAATTGGACACAACTAGACTTAATGTCAAGGGGAAATCTTTATCTTTACTTTAAAAGCTTTGTTGTTGGGTCCGGTATGGTGATATGGCTTAAGGGCTAATCAAGAACTTTTATTTATTGTTTACAAGGGTTTTGGGGTCGCTTCCCATCCATAAGACCCCTTCAAAATTATTTCATTGTTGAGAAGCTCTGTCCCCAACTATTTATGGAATGATCTCTGAGTTTGCATATTTCTCTTAAGGATTTTGCTTTAGTCCTTATTTTAGTTAGTCCTTATTTTGACTGTGTTTTCATGAATTAGTGGGCCTAAACTTCTGTTTCCCAACAAACAGATATTTTGTTTGCAGTGATGGTTCTTTCTTGAAGTCTGTCTGTGGATTTAGGTCTAACAGAGAGAGGTAAAAATGTGGGAGATGTAATTTAAGCATTTTCCTGACATATTCTGAGTATGCACATAACACCTATTATGGTGTAAACAAGAGACTGGAATGACTAAACCACTGCAGAAAACTCATAAAAGCAAGCTTTACTTTTTATGGGCTTCAGCATGAAGTGTGAAAATTCTTGAACTTAAACTCCCCCATCATCCTGCTTTAAAAGGAAAAGTCACTTTGGGTTCTTCACACAGTATTGTGCAACAAAGTCAAATGTTTAGTCTCAGAGCGAATTATGTTAGTATTATGCAGGAGTCAGTGACAAAGTCTTTTGGAAATGCTGTCAAGACTGCATCCTTAGCCAAGACAGATACTGTAAGAATTGTGTGTTGTTGTTGTTTTGAGAATTCAAATCACTTTGATTATCTTCTTTTCCATTATTTATATTTTAGAGAAGGATCAAGAACCTAACTTTTAAAATAAATGTGTAGCAATTGCTCAAAAAGGAGCAAAACTTAAAGTTACAAGGAAGTGATTGCTTAGGACTGTAGCACTTTACTTGGAAATAACTTTTTATTGTTTTA